TATAGAGAGAGAGAGAGAGAGAGAGAGAGAGAGGGTGAACAAGAGTGAGAGAGGGAGAAAAAAGGGTGAGTGAGAGTAGCAGAAAGAAAAGCTTGTCTTTTAGAAAGTCGCAGTAGCGGAAGAGATATTGCAAACAAAAAGCGAACACGGCCCACAACCAATGTAAACATGAGTGACGTTGTCACAGTTTTCCAACTGCTACTTCTTTCATGTATATCATTTTTATTACCTACTGTGCTATGAGTACTTGGTTTTAGGATTTTAGTATTAGTTTAACTTTTGAGGCACATGCAACACAAGAAGGTCATTTATTATAAGTCCCGAAGAGTCCCAAAAAGAAGGAGAGATAGAACGATGGATGTTTTATTGGAAATACGTTAGCAAATCATATAAGAGCGCCCCCCTACCACTCACATACTAAGAGTGCATACAAGGAATCACTCAGCTTCTCCAACCCCAGACAACCCTACCTACCCGTAGTGGTCCCTGCTTTCACTGACACGGCTCTGGCTAATGGTGCCAACAAACCAACCCCCCCCTGACCACGTTTCCCCAATTTCGAGAGGGGTTAGAATAACATGACGGGACCAGTTGTGGCCTCTCAAGGAGCAGGTGGTTGAACCTAGACCTAGTAGTAGTAGTAGTAGTAGTAGTAGTAGTAGTAGTAGTAGTAGTAGTAGTAGTAGTAGTAGTAGTAGTAGTAGTAAGAACGTATAGGGTTGAACCCATCAATGGTTACAGTCGCTATGCTCCCAACTAACAACACACTCCACTCTCTCTATTTAACTTAATGTCTAATCTGCCTAATATTCCCGCTTCTGTTACCAAAACACGCTCTGTGGCTGAGAAGGATTAAGTTAGTTTGAGAATGTCTATGTTCAAGGATGGATTGACTTGCTTTCTGGCTGAGGACATCTTTTTTATCTCTTCGTAAAAGCACAATGTCCCAGGACGTGCTTTCCCACATGGCCACAAGCTCACACATGAGTGGACAATACAATAGCCAGTAATAGCCATTGGTAGCTGGCAATGGGCAACTTGAACCCAACACTGTCCGAGAGCAGTTAGTTTTCTTTAAGTCTCAAGAAAACCCATGTACCCTCTTGTCCTCAACATGCATAGCCTCTTACCAGGGCGGGCAGGAGAGTCCAAAGACATTCCAGTTCTCAGTGCCATGACAAAAAGAACAAAACTTCTCGTGAGCTCGTAAAAAAAAGGATTCGCGCCAGCCAGGCAGAGCTGTCGCAGGGCTGTTATGAGCGACAAGGCAGCGAGGTACAGAGCTAGAACAGCAAGGAAAAGCTCTCAGCGTGAAAAGGGAGCCATATGCATAGTAAAGGGCGGGGAATTATTTGTTTCTTTAATTTTTTTTATTTTGACGAACGCCTGATTTCCCCAAGATGCCACAAAAATATTGCCGATTCAAAAAAAGAAAAAATGAAAGAATGACCCAAAAAAATGAAAGGTACAAACTGATATATTTGCAATTGAAGGAAATGAGGTGGCATAGTTTCAGAGGGGAAATTAGTGAGAAAATGGCCTCCAAAGTTTGGTAATTTCCATAGCTTGAGAGTCCTTGGAAACTGAAAATTAACATTTTTGTGCCTTTTATCAATGTTTTAGGTAAAATCCACACGGAAATGTGTTTTAAATGGATATATAAGCCAAAAAATGAAAATTATTTTTTAAAAGCCCAAAGGTCAGAAAAATGCCAATTTCTTTGAGTTCATAATTTTGACGAGCGCCTGATTTCATCACGATGTCTCACAATAATATGTGCTTGATCGGTCGTCTTCCTATTGGCAAATTATAATTCTTTGGGATACAGAATTGAAATCTGAGGCATTTGGCGGGTAGATAATGGCGAAAAGTTTATTTCTCATCAAAAACATACCTCTCGAGACTGAAATTTGAAAGAAGGGGTGGATCCAAAAGTCACATGTCAGTACGCCGTGTTCTCTCGGAATTCATTCAGCACAGCAGTTCATCTTCAGCCTAGACGGTCAGATAGTATAAGAACGTATAGTCTTCAGCGCATAGAATAACACAAGTAGGCGAATGTAAGCCTGCAGCTTATTGCTTCAGGCAACGGCGAGGACTTGCTGCAATTGTAGATAAATGGTTCTGAAACCAGGACTTGTGTCACTGAAAACACTGTCACTTTTGTCCCACAAGCTTTCAATTGAGTTTTAATGTGACCAAAGACTAGACCATGGATCCATTGCGGGGACGTTACTC